GGGTGTGGGGCAGGGAATGGGGGCTCTGTGGGGCACGGGTCACCAGCAGACAGGTTGAGGGGAGGGCAGGACACTGGAGGACAGATGTGGGGCAGCTGTGCGTCTCGGCTGGGGCCGTGGTGCTGTTGGGGGAGCCGGGAGCAGCAGGTGCAGGGGGTCCCCTTGCCCCCCTTGCCGCCGCCTTGTGCTCACCATACCTGGCACCCGAGAGACATGCAAAGTGACAAGCAGGAAAAGTTTGATGGAATAGCAGGACTTTTTTTCTAATGACCCAGCTTACTAACATGAGAATTGTTTTATTTCAAAATAAAATCTGCCTCCATTTTCCAGACCCAGTACCAGCCAGCGGATCTTTCCATCCTTTCTCTCACAGGACACGTCCCCTGTGGCCTGATCTGCCACCCCAACAAGGAGCACATCCTCTATCCCCTGGGATGCACTGTGGTTATTCAAGACCTGGACAGTAAGAAGCAGACCTTCTTGCATGGCCACACCAATAATGTCTCCTGCGTCACCGTGTCCAGGGATGGGATGCTCATTGCTTCCGGAGAAATCACTTACATGGGCTTCAAGGTAGGTAGTGCTCTAATTCTAACCACGTAATACTGACCAGAGAAATTGGAGTTGGCTTGACAGCGGTGGGAACACCTTTCATTTAGTTTTTCTTTTGTTGGAAAACAAATGCCCACAGTGGGAGGACCTTGCAGAGAATGGGAAATTGTGGCTGCTCCGTTGCTGGATGTGCCTTTATGTTTTTGTAAAGATTAAGCCTTCCTCCTAGGACTGGGATAACTAGATTGAGGGGTCTCTTAATTCCAGTCCTTCTTATCCAAAGTGTTGTGCGCATGTGGCACCCTAAATCTCATTAGACGCTAATTAATAAATGGTGTTGTATTTAAAGTGGTACCAGAGTTCCAGATCTGCGTAGGGCTTCAAAAGCCCTTGACAGGTACCTGCCTGTATTTGTAGACCTCTACAGTTCTTTATGGTTTAATTTTTGCCTATTTGAAAAGACACCTGGAAGGACTCGAGTATTAGTGTTTTCAGTATATTAAAATCTATGTCAAATACCCAAATGTCCCAGGGTAAATTTGAATTCTGAGATGAAGTAAAGCTTCTCAACCGGTAAGCTGGAATAATGCTTCTTACAGCACCTGATCTGAGCTGGTTTTGTGTCAACAGAGCCCGGGGCTGGATTGAAGCTAACCTGGGGCTGGGCTGACAGCTTTCCTGCCAGAGAAAGTTGTGAGATCTAATCCTGCATGTGATGTCTAATGCTCTGGCTCTGACCCCACAGGCAGACATCATCCTGTGGGATTTCCCCAGGAAGGAGTTACTCACTCGGCTGACTCTTCATAAGGGTAAAGTCGAAGGACTGGCGTTTTCTCCCAACAGCCTCTACCTCCTGTCGCTGGGAGGCCAGGATGATGGCAGGTAACAATTCCCACTCCTTGTCACACAATTCCCGACAAGGTGTAGGGCACCGAAGGGAGTGGTAGCTGGATGGGTACCAGGGCAGGGTGCGGGGTGTGGGGAAAGACAAGGGGAGCAGCTAATTCTTAAGCTGGTGTGATCGGCCAGAAACCTGACAGAGCCTGCATGTTTAGCTGGCCTCAGTGAAGATGCAGGAATTTCACTGAGGGCATCCTTTACACACAGACAAGAGTCTAATAAAAAGTTATTTTAAACCAGATTTTACAAGTGGCCTGAGATATGATTTGAGTCTTGCTCAGCAGAACGAATCTGACAAATACACATGCCCTTGCTTTAGGAGCAGGGGGTGTAAAGTGCAATTCCACACCTTTTATGATAAGCTTTTTCTTGGGTAAAATCTCTACAAAGTGACTTTTCTTGTTTATCCTGGTGGGAACAGACTGCAGGAAAGAGGTTTTGTCTTGCTTTTAAGTAAATTGTTTTTAAGTAATGTCAAAAAGCGCAGCTCTTTAAAGCCCCTTTTCTCCTGCAGCGTGGTAGTGTGGCACGTCAGGAAGAGAGAGGCCATCTGCGGGAGCCCTGCCTCGCCGTGCAGCGTGGGGAACGCGACTGTCGTGGTGTGCTCCAGCTGCAGGGATGAGATGTTCGTCACTGCTGGAAAGTAAGGTTTTGTTTAGATAAAAAATGAGGGAAAGAACCAGTGGTCCTATTTCCTTTTACAGAGTTTTTATTTAAATACAAGGAAACTTAAGGAACTGCGTGCTCGTGTTTTTTCTTTTTTGCTCCAAATGGGCCCACGAATATCTATCAGCTTGTCCCTTTAAGGCATTTCTGCTTGTTCTACGCACAACAAGATGTTTTCAAAGCAGCACACAGGGACCCATGTGCGCCGCTTCTGTTCCTGATAGCGGGATTTTGTACTCAGCATTCCCCATGCAGCGTTTAAAATATTTATTTGCCAGCGTTGACACAAGTAAAGCAGTCAATGAGCGGCTCTGCACAATGGTTAATTAATGTAGAAACAGTGCTATCTTGCAGGTCACTGGCTCATCTCCTGCCCTCACCAGTTGTGGTGTACAGTTGGTTGCTGGCTTGTAAACAGAAGTTTGTACAAAAAGTCGCATTGTGCATGGATTTGAGACAGCCCCCTTATCTCAAGCCTGACAGTTAAAAGTGTGGAGGACCTGCACCTCCCTTTCCATCAGGGAAGGTTTGGGATGCTCTTGGCTGCAGCTGCACGTAGGAGTGCTGGTCTTTGCAATTTTAACACTTTGTTAAATGTGAGGGTGACTGTGTGTAAAGATTTATATTGGCTCCTATGGTGTCGATTAAAGTGTGCTAGAAAATAGTTGAAAGTGTCCTGTACTGTTCATTTCCTGTTCCAGGAGCTAAGATTTCCACAGTGCACGCCTCTTGGGGAAATGGAGTGTCAAGGTTGTTACATCCTCCTTGGTAATCTTCATATATGTTTTTGCTGAATCTTTAAGATTTTTGATTTACCTGGGAAAAGTTATGGTAAGAGACAGCAGAAAGGACAGGGACTTGCTTCTACCCTCTCTGAAGTTGTTCTTTTCACCCTTATTTAAATTTCTGAATGATGTAGCCTTGTAAAGGCTTTTTAATTCTTCTAGTAGTGAAAAAGCTTGGATGTTTCAGCGCATATGGATTTGATCCCTCTATATTCGTTCTTACAGGGAGACTGTTCGGGTCTGGGAACTGGATCTACCAAACAGGAAAATCCGACCGACTGAATGCCGGATAGGGAAGCTCAGAAGAGTCATCATCAGTATTCAGGTAAGTTTCAGCCCAAGTGATTTGGCTAAACTGAGAGACTCTCTACAGACTAGAGAAAACCCGTGAGGTTCTGTACTCATGCTAGAAATGCCAGTTACAACTGCGTGAGTGCCGTGAAGTTACTACTAAGTGTTGGCTCACGGCAGATGGTCTCCCACGGTTTCTTTATCCTGGGAAAGTTTTTTGAATGCTTCTGAAGAGAAGCAGCATGTATTTTAGTCACGGGCTCTAGAATGCAGAGAATCCCACTTCTGCTTCAAAATCTTCTCTAGATTTGGTTAGAACAAGTCTTGTGTCAGCAGTGTGACGGAGTGTGACGTGACAAAAGCATCGGCTGCATCCCCTGGGATTAACTCTTGGTGATGCCCTGAAATAACACGATTTGTGCAGCCCAGTGCTAGGTTTGGGATGAGTGTCTCGGTATCATGTTTTTTTTGTTTTGTTTTGTTTGTGTGTGTGTGTGTGCTTTCCTATAGATGGCAGAGGATGATAATTATTTTTATGTTGGCACAACAACTGGTGATATCGTGCAAGTGAGTACCAACAGCAAGGTGATGACTGCCTATGGGCCCCAGAAGGAGCCATTTAGTTCGGTAAGTAGCAGCTCCATGCCTTGAATTTTTTCTTTATCCTGCTCTTTCTTAGTACCTGAAAGTAGGGCAACCTCCAGGAGAGCTGTTACAAAGGTGATTCACAGACTAACCCTTTTTCTGTGCTATTCATTCTTTGTGTCCCAGTCTTGATCCTGAGCTCTGAGACCGTTAGCCCAGCTTTGTTCGGCTTCTTTTGGCTCTGAATTTGGGGTTTAGATGAATCTCATGTGTCATCCCACAAAATCTCTTTTATAATAAATCTGGTAAAAGTCATAAAAAGTAATAAAGAATCATAAAAATGGAGTAGATCCTGAGTTGGGTTTTTTTTTTTTAGGAAGATACTAGCTGGAGTGAGATGTTCCTGGGAAGGCTGGTAGAAGTGCCTGTTTGAGAGGCTTTCCCACACTTCCTGCTCTAAGGTCCCATATTCAGATCCTACAGATTTGTTAAATTTTCTGGGCTGAAATTTTCCAACACAGCTGTTTGCCACAGGAACAGTATTTTGGAAAAGCTTAAAAACACTACAGTTGCTCTTAAAAAAACCCCAACCTCCTGGATTTTTGTGTTTGTTCCCCGTACCATTCCTCCCCCTTCCTGTTATGAGTTTGTCTTTTTGAAACTCTGATTCTGCCACTGACGAGGCAGAGGCCTTACTGAAAAAGGCAGTATAGAGACCATGATGAGTTTATTAGAATGCATATGCGCTCTTCGGAGGAAACCAAGTTGCACAGGGTACATTGAGCCTATTGCTGTTTAACTTCCGAGTGCTTGACTTCATAACCCCAAAGTTCTTTTACATTAGCTTTTTTTGATCTATAATTGGGACTCATAAGTCTTGGTATGAGTATCCTCAGACAGGGCTAGCTCCTGACTAGGGAGCTTTTGGCCTTTCATGGTACAAGAATTTCGCACACAGGGAGCTGCAATGATAAAATCAGTGACAGCTAGTACCCTTGTTCTTGATTTTGCTTTATTTGTTGCTCTAAAAGACTTCATGTAGCTTCTCGGTTTATACCCAGTGGAGGGAGCAATACCTATGGAATTTAAACACTTCCCTGGAAAACTTTCTTCCATCAGATTGAATGTATTTTGTGGTTCTATTAACAACTGTGAAAATGGGTGAGCAGCGAGGGAAGTGATGATGATGGAGGCACCAGTTGGACTGTCAGGGATGCCATGGGGAAGCTGTCCTACAAAGAAACCGATCTTGTTTGAGAGCAAACACAATGCTCAGCAGAACTGTAAGAAAAATTCAGCAGTTAACCCCAAAGAAAAAGCCATTCTGGACTTGTTTCTCTAAACCTCCTGAACTGGCTTGTGCCAACACATGTACATACAAACCGTATACGTGCCCATTCCGAATGTAATGTCTCTTGCGTTACAAGTGCAGGCCCATACCTCTGGGATAAATTTGAGCCACAAATTCTTTGAAATATATTTCAATGTTTATCTATTCCAGAAGGTTGGAGAAATTGACTTGTTTTTCCCACGTACATTGTAGCAATGTAAGTAATTGAATTCTGTGCACGTGTTAAGTGACAAGAATATCTGTATTGTGTCTTCCTGGTGGCAATGGTCGGTTTGCCGAAGGTGCGTGCCCTGTGGTGTACCTGTGCCATACGCTGCTGAGCCAGTCTACACGCAGGATCCAGGTCCTGTCTGATTTCTTTGAAGCCACACCAGCTCTGAGCTACCTTCCCTTCAGGGGTGATGGGAAGGTGCCGATGCATTGGAAACAACTTCACCAAAAATAGAGTTCTGAGACCATTGCTAAAGAAGCGATCAAATAGGGTCATTAGCAGGATGCCGTGCAATTTGGGCGTTTACAGAGGGCCTAGGACCTCTTGGAGAACAGCTGAGGCTCAAAGCCAGCCCACAGCCCAGTCCGTACAGGGAGAGGTTTATCACAAGGCAAAGCCGTAGGAACTGCTGCATGTGGCAGAGACCTTGGGAGCACTGTGAGCTCCAGCCGACATTGCTTCCGAGAGTGAAGAGCTGAAGGAAAACAGGACCTTTGACTGTGTAAGAGAGTGGCGGGTTTCTAGGGAGAAGAATCCATGGGTCCTGATGGGATGCACCAG